GATCAAGTTCTCTCAGTTTTTCGTAAATTCGTCTTCATGTTATGCTTCCCAGCCTCCATAATAAACAAACAAAAGGTATGTTGTATTGTCAAAGCCGGGTTTGGGTATCTCTTGAGTAATGCCATGATGCTGGTCTGGCCAAAACATGATATGGTCATTAGCATGATGTTCGTGGACAAACTGAAGAAATTTGGAAAGGTAGTTATCAATATAGCTCAGACTATTCAAAGCTTCACCCCTTACTCTTCCCACAAAATATTGGGCCTCCAACCTCAACGGATTCCAAAATATAAGCCGTCCAAGTCGGCATAATGGAGTATCGGCCCTACTCAATTTCTGATTTAAGTGGAAGAGTGGCTTCGGTCAATTTCGCTGAATTACTAATATGTTATATGTCTTGGCGTCCTGAATAAATGCCTTAATGAGCACATGCTGCAAGATATAGGCCATCTGGGTCAGTATAATGGAGTAACCAGATCAAGTGAAAGAGTGGTTTCGGTTAATTTTGCCAAGTTCCTCAATATGTTATGTGCCTCGGCATCCTAAGCAAATGCCTCAATATAAAAGGCCCCAAAACTCAACGAGTTCCATAATATAGGACGTAAAAGTCGGAATAATCTATTGGTTATACTGGAATATATGCTTTAAGTGAAAGAGCGGGTTCGATTAATTTTGCTGATTTTTTTATGTTAAATATTTCAATAGTCACATGCCCCCAACCTCAACAGGTCCCAAGATATAGGCCGTCCAAGTCGGCATAATGGAGTATCGGCACTACTCAATACCTGCTTTAAGTGGAAGAGTGGTTTAGGTCAATTTCGTTGAATTACTCATATGTTATGTGTCTTCTCGTCATGACTAAATTCCTCAATAAGCACATGCCCCAAGACACAACGGGTCCCAAGATATAGGCCGTCTGAGTCAGTCCTACTCGAATATCTGCTTCAAGTAAAATAGTGGTCTTAGTTAATTTTCCCAAATTTTTCAATATGTTATGTACCTCGGCATCCTAAACAAATGCCTTGATAGTGACAAGCTCCAAAATTCAGTGTCCCAAGTCGGTATAATGGGATGTCGGATTTACTTAGATATCTGCTCTATCTAGAAGAGTAGTTTCGGTTAATATGATATGAATAATTTTTGAAATGTCATGTATCGCGTCATCCTGAACAAATGTCTCAAAGATCACATACAATTGAACCACCTCCCTTTTCCATTGTGGTTGGAAGAATTAGACGCAATTAAGTTTAATAGCAGGTAGGCCGACGAATCTGTTAACCGGCTACGACTTAAAAAGAGCGATGACAGTGACAGCTCCTAGTGTATTTTTCTATATAAGGGAGACTGCTATAGTCAAAATCACAAAAGATGACTATTACGTCATATCATAAATTGTACTGAAGTAATCAATGGACGTAGATCGATGAAAAAAACACGATGTCAGGAACATAATGACAACAACACACATACACACACACACACACACTGATTATTTTTATTTTCATTTTATTTCATGGTTTTGAGTGATACCTTAATAATAATTTCAGTGGGGAGTTTTTGTTTTGAAAAAAAAAATGAGTAGAATACCTTAAGACAGGGTCACCAAAGACCAAAATATTATTCGAAAACAACCTAACCTGCTTTAACATAACCCAACTTATCATCTTTCCAATATGATCGATCATGCAACATGAAAACATCGTCTATCTTTGTTGGATACATGCAAATTAGCAATACAGTTTGTTTAGACAATAAAATTCTGTTTGTCTCTGTCTAACATATCAGAAACTTCATCAAAAATATTCACAAATCGCTGTCGTTAGTCTTTACTACAGACTAAAGTGATAACGTAATCGTCATCTTTCGTGATTTCGACTATACATGCGCAGCCCCACATTGATCGAATACATTGTTGTGAGAGGACATTTTTAGGTTAATCGTCACTTGTTGCAATCTACAAACAGTTCATTACTAAGTACTGTACAAGCATTTCCTGTTTAGTTTTCCACTGCATTATATACTTTTTGTTGGTCGTTTCTCATATTTCATAGTTAATCGCGTTATGTTTTTGGTCTCTCGTTTTTCGTTTTCGTTTTCCATTTTCTGTTTTGATTTTTCATACTGTTTTAATTTCGTTATTTTTAGCATTACGTGTAAAGTTTTAATTTTGAGTTGTGCAGCTTGCATTTTATACTATAGCAGCGAGCATGGCGCAGCGCATGCCATGTTAAGTGTGTAAATCCAAAAGTGGAGGTTGCTATGAGGTACCGTGAAGAGCTGAACCACTCTGTTTTTGTGATAAACGATATATCACGGGTTTATTTTAACTGCGATTTATTACTTACACGGGACGGAGCGGCCTTGCAAAATCCCGAAAGTCTCAGGTTGGATATCCTTAGACAAAAATCCTCTGAAACATGTATGTTATATCATTTAAATTCAACTTTACTTTTAAAAAAATTTTATTTGAGGACAGTAGCTACTGTCCGTTACAAATTACAAGAGTCTCCCTCGGACCACAACTAGGATGACCTACTCGATTACCTCGCCGAACATCAATCACCCCGCTTCAGAGGTAGTTCTACTCGGTGATTTCAATGCCCATAATGAGCTTTGGTTGGGCTCAAACAAGACCGATGCAGCAGGTCGTGCAGTCGAAGCGTTCGCTCTTACTCAAGGGCTGACTCAGCTGAGCCCTACTTTTTCCCCACGTCTCGTCACACGCCAGTCGCCTGCTGGATCTCGTTCTGACCACGCATCCTGTCCCTCACAGCACTGCTGTCCTGTCGCCCCTGGGTAACTCAGACCACGGTGTTGTGGAGGTTAGGTTTCGGTCAGAACCCGCTGTGGCAGCAGAAACTCGTACAGGCCGCAAATCTTGGCATTACGGACATGCCGACTGGGAGGGGCTCAGAGACTTCTTCTCTAGCTTTTCTTGGAGAGATGTCTGTTTCACTGACGCGGATGCGTCGGCTGTCTGTTCTTCGATAACCGAAATTATCCACGTCGGAATTGAGGGATACATCCCTCACACAGTAAAAGTGCCTAAACCAGGGTCCAACGGCTGGTTTAACAAATCTTGTGACGCTGCTCGCCAGCAGAAGATCAAGGCACACAGAACCTTCTTACAAAACCCCACTGTAGAGAACAGATAAGCCGACGTCGAGTCCAGAAACAAATATAACGAAGTGGTTCGCAATGCCAAAAACCAGCACGATATAAAAGTTAGGCACAGGGTGATGTTGCAGCGCAATGGCAGTCGGTCTTTCTGGACGCTAGCCAAGCAGATTGAAAAGAACTTCTCACACAGTAGCCTTCCACCACTTGCGTGTCAGGATGGAACGATTGTATCCGACTCAAAGGCCAAGGCGGAAGTACTTGCCAAGATCTTTGCTGCCAACTCCACCATGGACGCCCCCCCGACGCCCAAGTGCCGTCAATCCAAAGGGTTCCCTACACTATGCAGGAGGTAACATTCAGGCACAAGACCGTAAGACGGGTGCTCTTGTGGCTCGCCATTAACAAAGCTTCTGATCCGGACTTGATGCCTGCCATTGAACTGAAGAGGTGTGCAGCGGAGCTTGCCCCAGTTCCTTCGCGTCTCTTCCAGATATCTTATGAATCCGACACCTTCCCAGAAAACTGGAAATTTGCTCATGTCCAACCCATCCCAAAAAAAGGATCTAAGTCCGACCCCTACAACTAGAGGTCTATAGCTCTGCTTTCTGTTATAAGTAAGGTGATGGAGAGGTGGATGAATCGCGAGCTTCTGGACTACCTCGAAAGTCACAGCTTGATTAGCGACAGGCAGTATGGTTTTCGGCACCAACGATCCACAGGGGATCTCCTAGCCTACGTCAGGCAATTGTGGAGTAAACTCATCCAGTCTTATGGTGTGGCTCATGTCGTTACTCTTGACATCATGAAGGAGTTCGATCAGCTGTGGCACGCTGCCCTCTTAAGCAAACTTCCATCCTATAGCCTTCCAGAAAAGCTTTGCAGATGGGTGGCTGACTTTATCTCTGGCCGCAAGATATCCGTCGTAATTGACTGGTTCTCCTCTTCATCCCACAAGGTCAACGCGGGTGTTCCCTAGGGATCGGTCTTGGCACCAACACTGTTTCTCTTACATATCAACGACCTCCTTTCCTGCACGAACAACCCAATCCGCAGCTTCGCTGATGACAGTACTCTACATGCAGGAATTCAGAGTGACAAGCGGATCTCTGCCGCTGTGCTGGAAAGAAGAAGACTTGCGACGACTTCCTCTCTGACAAGAGACCTGGAGGCTATCACTGCTTGGGGACGCAACAATCTTGCACAGTTCAACGCTTCCAAATCACAATACTGTACTTTGACGAACAAAAAGCGTCCTAGCGCTCATCCGGTTTCGATGGATGGCCGAGTTCTGCCAAAGAGCCATTCCTTTCGGCTAGTCGGAGTCCATATCATCGAGGACCTGATCTGGCACGAACACATCTCGCCAATAGCAGCAGCTGCTGGGAAAAAGCTAGGCTATTTGTTTAGGGCTAAGAAGTACTTTTCTCCGCATGACCGTCTCACTCTATACAAGGCCCAGATAAGGCCTAGCCTCGAGTATTGCTCACACGTTTGGGGTGCTGCCGCCCCGACTACATTACCCATGCTGGATGCTGTCCAGAGGAGGGCGGTCCGACTGATCGATGACTGTTCTCTAACAGACAGTCTCGAGACCCTTTCGCACCAGCGAGCCGTCGGCGATCTAGCTCTTTTCTACGGCTACACCAACGGGATTTGCTCCTCAGAGCTCTCTTCCATGATGCCGACACGCGACATTGTCTGTAGGTTAGATGTAGACGTCCTCTCGTCAAACAGCCATCTGGTATTTTTGTGAATCACACGGTTTCCCCAGGTTGATTCCCAAAACTTTTTCATGGCTTCTGGTGTGGGGACCTTATTTTCTTGCAGGGTTTCAATCTCGTGATCTTCAGACTCTAAATTCTTATAAAAGCTCCTTTCACTCCTGCTAAACTGACTATTATGTTGACGTCTTGTGTTGCTTTCCTTATACCATCGGAGTTTTTTAGCCATAGCCTTGAGTTTTTGTTTAAGGTGATCCAGTATTTCTGTTGCTGTTGGATTTTCGAGGCTTTGTTCCCTTTCAAGAATGGCTTTGGCTTTCTTAGTGACTGAGCTGCTGGGGTTCAAGCTTTGATTTTGTGTCAGAATTCCTATGTCCCGCCTGATACTATCGATTTTATTAGTAATTCGGCGGTGCCATGCTGGCGTGACTGGGACATTTTTAACTTGAGTGTCCGTGGAGATTTTCTGTTTGTTTAGTGTTAGCACCGCTGCTGCTCTACTATAAATAAGGCTGTGTAGATTTTCGATGGGTATACCAGTTGTTATTTTGGAATCCAGAATTTTGTTGATTTCACCCAATATAGATTTTGCCTTGTTATTATAAATTATTTTGGGAAGTCTAGGTTTCATCATAGGGTCCATTCCATCATAAAGCAAATGAACCCTTTCGAATTCCAGCTCAGCAGCAGATGGTGGTCTGTTGGCTTCCGGTACTGAGGCCGCTGGTTCATCGTCAGCAGGTAAATTTATAGATAGTTCTATCGCAACTTCGCGCTTTATTTGTGTAACAATACCTGGTGTTAGGCGTCTATTTATAAATATAGATCTTCGCTGGTCTATGATATTTTGTATAGTCTTGTGACGAAGCATTGGAAATTTTTCAATTACCAGTCTATGTAGTTCTCGGCTGTATGGAGTTTTGGCGGTTTCTAGTCGGGTTAATCTGTAATAGCAGCGAACCATGAATGCATTGATGTCTTCTGTCCACATGGTTCTTTGCCTAACTGTGCCTTGTGACGTGGTGGGCATGGGCTCTGATGGCCCAGCAACACCGACATCTTGGCTTGGTACGTTTGGTGGTGGTGGTGTATTCGACTGGGTTGGTAATCTGGTTGGTCCTTGTTCATTGCCGCGGTAGGTTGCAGGTAAATCTTCAAGACGGTTCCGACCCGGCTTCTGCTGCGCCGGCCCGCCTGAGTCTCTCTTATTTCTCGTTTTAAGAGCATTTAAATATACACGTTCTAGGGGGTGCTAACCCATAGAGCGGTGGTACTAGTTTTTGTCCATCCCGGGTATTTTATTTCCCCGGTACCCTCCATATCTGGAGAGCGTTTCCCAATTCGCACAGGGAGGCGCCCGATGGGAGACTAGCAACTCCACACGGGTATTATTATTATTATTATTATTATTATTATTATTATTATTATTATTATTATTATTATTATTATTATTATTATTATTATTTATTATTATTATTATTATTATTATTATTATTATTATTATTTCTCCCTTCGCATTCCCTTTCCTCGGAAAGAGATCACTTTTCCTACGGAGAGCAAACCATACTCCTAGTCTATTATTATTATTATTATTCCGGTATCTCACAGACTCCCACGGTTGCTGCACTCGCGTTAGGGAATTAATTCGCTTTATACCATTGCGAAAATGCCTTTTCAATATGGCAGGTCAGTAATAAGGATGCCTTTTGCATGCTATTAATAACGTTGTCAAATCTAATTAATTTATTTAAGTAGAGAGTCTATTTAAAACCACCCTTTCATAGATACTACCCACGGTATGATTTTTATTTCTTGTTGTTTCCAGGCACATTTTAATTGAATAGCTAAATTCCTGTATTGATCATATGATGATATTCTATTGCGGCAAGATTAAACATCAACGAGATAGCTATATCTATACTAAGTGACATATAAATCCGAACACCCAGTTTAAATGGTTTTATTTTAATGAAATTTTGTATAAGTACTTAATGAAGCATAATAAGTAAATGATGAAAATTTCAAAATGATTGCACTGCTTTAAAGCCCTTTGACCTTTAATAATGTGTGGATGCACCCTGATGTGCTACGCATTCTCCAACGCGCCTAGGCATGCTTCTGATCAGGTGGTCAATGTCCTCCTGTGGTATCTCATTCCAGGCAACCACCAACTCCTCTCGAAGTGCTTCTAGAGTCTGAGGAGGACGTTGCAAATTGAGCAATCTCCTACCCATCATATCCCACACGTGCTCAATTGGGGATAAGTCGGGAGATCTTGGTGGCCATGGTAACAATGTGACATCATTATGTTGAAAGAAGTCTATTGTGACTCTTGCAACACGTGGTCGGGCATTATCTTGTTGGAAAGTTGGATCTGCCAGGGTGTCAAGATAGGGTAAAAGAAGGGGTTCTAGAACTTCGTGGATATAACGCTGCGCGTTCATGTTACCTCTGATGAAGATTAAAGGTGACCTGGTGCCATAAGCTATAGCACCCCAAACCATAACTCCAACGAATGAGAAGTTTTGGCTTGTTTTCATACCGGCCACACTGGGTCCTCCCTTTAACTCGAGAACACCGACGTAATCGCCTTGAGTGGTGCAGACAACGGTCACTCTGGGATCAGGAATGGAACAGTATTGTCTTTAGTGACGAATCTCGATTTTGTTTAGGCATGCACGATGGTCGTGCCAGGGTTAGAAGGCGACGTGGTGAAAGGAGGAATCCACAGTTTTTTGTTGAAAGACATGTTCATCACACTGTTGGAGTTATGGTTTGTGGTGCTATAGCTTATGGTTCCAGGTCACCTTTAATCTTCATCAGAGGTAACATGAACGCGCAACGTTATATCCACGAAGTTCTAGAACCCCATCTTTTACCCTATCTTGAAACCCTGGCAGATCCAACTTTCCAACAAGATAATGCCCGACCACATGTTGCAAGAGTCACAATAGACTTCTTTCAACATAATGATGTCACATTGTTACCATGGCCACCAAGATCTCCCGACTTATCCCCAATTAAGCACGTGTGGGATATGATGGGTAGGAGATTGCTCAATTTGCAACGTCCTCCTCAGACTCTAGAAGCACTTCGAGAGCAGTTGGTGGTTGCCTGGAATGAGATACCACAGGAGGACATTGACGACCTGATCAGAAGCATGCCTAGGCGCGTTGGAGAATGCGTAGCACATCAGGGTGCATCCACACATTATTAAAGGTCACAGGGCTTTAAAGCAGTGCAATCATTTTGAAATTTTTATCATTTACTTATTATGCTTCATTAAGTACTTATACAAAGTTTTATTAAAATAAAACCATTTAAACTGGCTGTTCTGATTTATATGTCACTTAGTATACAACGTAGCCTTATTGATGTTTTTGTCTACCAGCACTATATCTGGCCTGTTAAAATCTACGCATTTGTTTAAGATAATTGGAGTGATTATTGCTGTGTCTAGTGTTCTAAAGTCCCGAAAACTGCAGTTGTCCTCTGAAGAAGTCGAACAGCTATTTGTCGAAGTGAAATTTTGCAAGAAAACCATCATTTTTGGAGCTGTCTATGTTCCACTAAATTCTTCATCAGTTAAATATGACATCCATTGTTTATCTCTTCTTGAAATTTCTGAAATTTGTCCGGAGGTAACTCGGAATAATGATGATGATTATTTTGTCCATTGCCCTGAGAATTCAGCGGCACGTAGATTGGCAGAAACATTCTCAATATATCACAACTCAATAATGTTCCGAATGAGCGTAATGTGTTTCTAGATTTACTGTTTTCTAGTTTGGTTTATATCAATGTGTTACCAGCTTATGATATTTTACTGCCAGAGAGCCTATACCTTTACAATTTTAGCAAAGTGTAGTCAATCTGATTTTGATGATAGCGGATAAAATTCCTGTTACCCTAAATGGTTCAGCCCTGAACTTAAAGATCTAGTCTGTCGAACAAGATCGCCCATAAGATTTTTATAGAAACAATCCAATATGAGGACTATGTGACTTTCTCAGGGTTACGCTCTTTATGTAAAGAAGAACATAAGCGATGTCATGCAATTCATATTGATCGAGTTCAGGAATCATTTGGTAGCCGATCCACAGCGCTTTTGGGGTTACGTAAAGAGTTTAAGAAATTTAAGTAGCTTACCTAATAGTATGCACTTAGAGGGAGTTAGAGTGCAAGATGCCAAGACAATAAGTAATTTGTTTGCAAAGCACTTTAGCGGTGTATATGATCGTTCTGTACATCCTGTAACCTCTTTTTTATTTGAGAAGACAGGACTACTAAACAAAATTTCTCTTGGAGAAGTATGTGATAAAATCGTAAGTCTCCCAGTGAGGTTCAGCTCGGGTCCTGACCAAATTCTAGAGGTTTTTGTCAAACAATGTATCTTTACACTTACTTTTCCTGACACTTGGAAGCAGAGTTATATTAAGCCAATTTTTAAGTCAGAAGATGTTGAAGATATTAGCAATTACAGAGGTGTATGTACCCAATCATCAATTCCGAAACTTTTTGATAGCTTGATATATGATCAACTTAACTGGTATTGCCGTGATCTTGTAAGTAGCAATTTGGGTTTACTAAGGGTAGATCAACTATGGAGAATTTGGTGTCTTATAAAGTTGAAAGGGTCACCTGGTGGATGCAATCTACACAGGCTTTTCCAAAGCCTTCGACAGAGTGAACTTCGAGATTCTGTTGGCAAAGCTGTCAGCTTATGGTTTTTCAGAAAACACAATAAGATGGTTGGAGAAATTGCTTAAGGGTAGGACCCAATCTGTTAAAATTAGTGGACATCTGTCTTCGATATTCAAGGTTACATCAGGGGTTCCTTAGGGGTCCCATTGTGCTCCTCTTTCCTTCATTTTGTTTGTGAATGACATCCCTGATGTTCTTATTCATTCCAAAGGAACTATGTTTGCTGATGACCTGTAGGACAGTAACGGAGAAAGATGACATGGTGGACCTTCAGCGGGACCTTGATGCGCTGTGGCAGTGGACACAGCTTAATCACTTGTATCTGAACTCTAATAAATGCTTTTTCATAAGTTTTTTCAAAACTAAGAATAGATTTTCAACTGGCTATAGATTAAATAATGATACGCTCTCTTATAAGGTTACCGCTAGGGATCTTGGAGTGCTTTTTGATGAAAGGCTTAACTTTTCAGACCATGTCCTCAAGTTAGTATAAAGGGCATACAGATGCTGGGCTTTGTTTGGAGAAACTGTAAGTGTTTTTCAATCAATACCATCCGAATTTTATATTGCTCCTTGGTAAGATCAAATTTAGAATATGCCACAGTAGTATGGTCCCCTCAGTACCAGTGTTATAAAGATGACTTAGAGCGTGTCCAGTATAAATTTTTACGGCTTACAGCATTAAAGAGGAACTTAAACATGACAAGATTTTATTGGGGATCACCGATTGCGAAACTTGGTTAACATTAATCAATCTTAATGTACCCCGTAGATTGCGTAATAGTAGTCTGCTTGCGATTAAGTTCCATCCCACAACCTATGGTCAGCACTCTCCACTCGATAGATCATTTCGTGATATCAATTTAGCTCAGTCTAATATTGACATTTTTTCCTGTACACTCTCAGGCTTTAAAATTATCTTTTAAATTGTGACTTTTATAATTATGTCTTGTGAGCTTGCATGTTGTAATGTTGTTCCCATTTTATGATTTTATTTTGTAAAAATAGGGTCGGTCTCT